TTTCAAAAAAGCTAACTCTTTTATAAGAAATTATACCTGCTAGAATTTATTATGCAGCATACTTTGATCAGAAAGTGACATCATTTTTGCATTGAGCCAAACCACACACACACACACAACACGCGCGCGCGCACACACACACACACACACACACACACACACACACTTCAATAATATTTATTATCGTGACGTATAGTATAATATACAAGGTATCTCAGAATAACGACAATACTTGTGAGCGAGCAGAGTACAGTAAGCCGAACAGAAAAGTTCTTTATTGTTTGGAAATTTCGCAATAATTATGAAGAAATTAATGAAAAAAGATTGGTCGCTTAGTTAAAAAGTTTGGTTCGCTCGACGAAGTCAGGGATAATACGTGAGCAGCGAGCAGACAGAAGCTTTACTTTTCGTTGCTGTGCGACACTTGTCGCTGGCATGCCTGTAGTATATTTTTTATGATATAGCCGCGCGAAACACGCGCTCATTCGCCAATCCTCTTTTAATTAATTTCTCCATAATTATTGTGAAAATTGCAAAACTTTTCGGTCCGACTTACTGTATTCTACCCGCTCACGAGTGTGTCATGACACGTTATTCTCTGAGACGCCATGTATATAATTTTTTAAAATCTATAAATTCAAGTATAAAAATCATAGACGTTCCCTGTAGTGAGCATAAATATCTTAATCCATACTTAAATGATATATAACTAGTATAAAAACATGCATCTCAAAACAAGGTATATTTCTGAGAAAGTATATTATTTTTATAAAAATGATATAAAATTTGCAAATATAAAAGTATCAAGTTAGATCTGATTATTTTTGTAGGAATGTAGAAAATTTCATTTACAATATATACCGATTATCAATTATTCTTATTTTATGTGTCATGCGAGACAATGTAAGAGCTTAAATATTATATATAATTTCCATAATCTTAATCCAGATTTAAACTTGATATATAAATGTAGTTTAGTACATAAAAATTAGTACTGTTCAGGTTAATAAAATGCACATTTTACAAATTTACTTGTCGTTAGTAAACTTATATTGCTTTGCATTAAATTTCTATAAATTAAAAATGGCAAAGATTTTATGTAATAGATGAGCTAAAATCAAAATATAACGTGTAACGCGCAATATAATTGCGACGAAATTTCGAAAAATATATCTAACATAATATGCTTATCCAAATTGAATTGTATAAAAATAAATTATTAAATAAATTAAATATAAAAATTTCTGGTCCTACATAAAATTCTTTGGTTTAATCAACATCATTACATAAAATCTTTCGATGTAATTTATGTACGTATAACTTTTTTGTTGCCACGGAAAATTGAACACTAATTTTATGTTGCACAAAATAGATTTTTTATTTTTCTGAGAATTTTTGTGATATATTGCAATGGTTCAATCTCGAAAATTGTCCAGATCTTTCAATTCATATTTATTTTCAAATCATAAGATAACAAAATTGATAAGCAAGTATATACGCATAAAATTATATTCATAATAAGCTAAATTAGACATAAATTACATACAAATTGCTATTTCTTCGATCTAATCTTTTTGTAAATGATATGAAAAATCAGAAACCTTAATTTACACAATATAGAAGAAAATAATGCTGATTATTTCATTGAAATTTTTTTACTCAAATGCACAATAATTCCTAATGGACCAGTTATCAAGTTTATAGAGTGAACAAATAAAACTGGTTACATAACAATTACATTAAAATTTTATGTAACTGTTCTTATAGTACTGCTCTTTTAAAATGTATATATGATTTTGTATAACATTTTATACAAATAAAAAAGAAGTTTTAGTTAATATCATTATCATAATATTTAATTTGTGATAACAAGTAGCAGCTTAGAAAGTGATAGTCACAGAATTTAAGATACCAAAGTTTGAATATGTAGCATTACATTAAATATAGCATTGCTTCTTTGAAAGAAAATATGTGAATACTATTTTCCACAGTAATTTGAACACAAACTGGTTAGCTTTATTTGGTTTATATGGCGTGGATCTAGTATTTGGTTTTCTTGTTACTTACTATATTTAATATTAAGGGTTATTAATCTTAAGAAAGGAATAAATTATTCATAGTTTTATGAACTCTGGTTTAACAACAACTAGCCATAACTTTATATATTATATTATGGGAAAAGCATTGAATCACATATACCTGTACAAACATAAAAATATAAACTGAATTATTTGCATCTGATCCTTCTTTTTATACAAATAATGTCAATCCATTATCATAGAAATTATTGACAATATGTAGAATACAAGTTGTTATGTACAATAGTTTGTATAATAATTTCCTTACAACCATTCAATATTTATCAAAAGCACAATGAAAATATAGCTTTATATACATACATACATATATACATACATATATATGTGTGTGTGTATGTATGTATATCAAGCATGTGTATAATGTATATAGTCAAAATTCTCAATATATCTTTACATTAGGCAGTTTTTTCTCTTTCTCTATTATAAACGTATCTATATATACGGCGGTAAATATTCACATACATACATACATACATATATATGTATATATGGCTGTGTATATTCGTTTGTGTGTATGTATGTATGTGTGTGTGTGTGTGTGTGTGTGTATATATATATGTCTTATCAAAATGATTTGACCTAGTCTGAATTGCAATATTCCTCGAAAATTACAGATGAAATTAATAGATACTAAATGTTAAATGTCTGCCGCGTACCTTTGAGTTTTATTAGTTGCTTTATGTGCTTAATTTTTCTGCTTTTACATCGTTATTGAAGCATGAGGGATTCCAAGTTTCGATGCAGAATAGTATCCTTCACAGCATTAAAGACAACTTTAATATTCTCCGTGTCCACAGCAGTAGTAAAGTGATGAAACAATGGCTTTCTTGGGTCTCTCTTGACTGAGACAAACATATCGAGAATGAAATTTTGCACGTCCTTCATGGAATGTGGATCACCCGTAAATTGCGGAAAGTACAAACGGACATTTGTATCTTGCGACCTCACTTTTTTATCGAGCAAATCCGTTTTGTTTAAAAATAAAATAATAGAGACACCACAAAATGTCCTGTTATTCACGATTGTATCAAATATGTTTCTGGATTCTTCCAATCTGTTAGTTTTCCTGTAAGAGATTAATTCAAATACAATCGTTAGCATTATATTTTATTTTGAAATGTACATACATGTATAGAATTAACGGAGATAATATACCTATCTTCCAACAAGCCTTGATCAAATTCTGACGATGATACGAGAAAAAGTATAGAAGTCACACAATCAAAGCATTGGTACCATTTTTGCCTTTGAGATCTTTGGCCACCAACATCAACAAAGAGGAATGGAATATTGTTAATTGGTATTACAAATTCGGAAATTCCTTTTGTTGCCTTTCTACAATGCAAAATATCTTGATGTGTAGGTGTATAGTCCTGAAAAAAAATGTATCTTTACACTCAGTGAATAACGGTAAAGTTTAAATAAAAAATAGCATATTGCACAAGTATATGTATAGTATAATACTTTTCTATTTCATTAAATTAAAATGTGCATTACGGATTAGTTAGTTTTAATTATAAATTATCAAAACCATTACCACTCTCGCAATCCTGTCGAGATTATCCAAAAAGTATTGAACAGAATCAATCTGAAAATATCAAATTGCATATATAAATTTAATGTGTAAAATTAAGAAATAATAAAATAAGAAAAAAATAATTGTACACATAAAATTTACGTAACGTTCGTCTCATAAACATATAAAAACAATATTAATCTAAAATAAATATAGAAAAAAAGCTCTTACTATTTGAAACTCTCTTCGCCTGTCAAATGCTCTTCTAATAGATGCATCTTTCCATAAACTTTGCAATGCTGGTACATAATGCAAAAATAATCTAGCATCCAGCACCATCGTATTTTCGACTTTGAGTAATTGAAAACCAATATCATAATTTTTAGGATTCTCCCAGGGAATATTTAGCTTATCGCGAGCGTCCAATAAAACTTGCATTCCCTTAATTATGTTTTGATAGATGACATGCTTATATTCCTTAATTAATTCAGGCTGGAAAAAATATAATTGTATATCAGTATCAGAAATTCTCTAAAGGGTTTTTATTAATGAAATATTATTTGTTACATAAACATATTTTGCTACATAAAACATTATTTATCAAAGGAGATACGCATAATGATTAGATTTACTTTCCATAACTAATAGATTTAATTAAAAATGTAATTAATGACAAGCGTTATGTATATCTACTAATTGATTGTAAGATAATTCTCAATTTTGCAACTTTATTATATTTTTATGTAAAATAATATTCTTTTATACACAGAATTTTTTTTTATAAAAGCAATTTTCTACACACAGTACATCTATAATATCTATTATATATTTTCTCTGTATAATTTTAAGCATTAATAAATAATTATACATTTGTAAAAAAACTCATTATTATGGATACGTTTGATACTTATATTTTTCCATACTAAATTTATAAATTTTGTATAAAACTAGAAAGAAATAATTTACTCTAAATAGCTAAACTAATAGTAAAAAATAAAAATAAACACACACACACGTGCGCGTGCACGCGCATGCACGCACAACCGATCAAGTTGAGTACACTAAATTTTATTTAAAGTAATGTAAAAACTGTCAATCACACAAATTTATAAAGTGCAAAACAAAAAAGTTTATTTGAATAAAAATTACATTTGTACATACATTTTATTCATTTAAAACGTTATTTTTTAAACTCAAAATATTCTCTACGAACTTTAATGACTATTCGACAAATACGGGACATTTTTGCCAGCAATTTATTGACATATTCGGTTAAAATAGATTTCCATTCATTTAATAACATTCTTCAAAACTGTTTTATATTCATTAAAGTAAAATTTTGTATTTTTCTGTCCAATTTATCTGAACTATATTTCAATCGAATATATCAATAAATTGCTAGCAGAAATGTCCTGCACTTGTCAAATAGTCATTAAAGTTCGTAGAGAATATTTTGAGTTTATGAACGTTATTTTTCAAATAAACATTTTTGTTTTATATTTTATTATGTGTGATTGACAGCTCTTACATTACTCCAAATAAAACTAATTCAAACTTTTGATCGGTAGTGTGTATATACATATCCCAAACCGAAAGCACCGTATTCAAATGGCACATTCTTGAGATTATTTTGAAAGAAAAATACTTAATACCAAAATGTCGAGACTATATAATTTTTAAAAAGAAGCATTTAAAAGCATTTAAAGTCCATCAATCAAGTGTCTCCAAATTTACGCGCTTAGGCATGATACATCGTATAGTAATAAGAGTATCTTCAAATATCGATTTGCTTTTAAATACAGATATAGGCTCGTATTAAGAACATGCTTAGTGTGTCGAACATCGAAATCTTACCGCTTGTATTGGTCAGATTTCGATTTGTTAGCGCGCTAACACTGTTATAAGCGCATTCTGAGTACGGATTACTTTACGAACAACAAAAAATAAAAACAGATCGATATCTGAAGATATCTTACTGTGCGATGCAATCGCACAGTTTGAGTGGTGAATTTGGAGCAACATGATTAATCAACTTTAAACGCTTCCCATTTAAAAACTATTATAGCCTCGACATTTTGGTATTAAAATTTTCATCTCAAAATGAACTCAGAAACGTGTCACTTCAGTACGATGCATTCTAGGACACTTTGTATATGCATGGTAAACGAGATAACATGTTTAAAATGTATTGTTAAAATTGAATTAAAATTACTCTTGGAGAAGTATGTATATTATGACTTAGTTCACACTATACATCTTATATACATATATTAAATTTATACTATATTGTTATTATAAATTATTTAAATCGCTTTACAAGTCCTTTACAATCCTGTACAATTTTAATACAAACATGACATTTGCTATACGTATATATCAAAATAATCGGTGCAAACAAGGCCAATAATGGATATTAAGTATAAAAAAATAAACTTGCAGTATTTTTTTAAAACACAAATTTTATTTCTTATGCATTTTACTCCGCTAAGAAATAAAACAGACGTATTGTATGCATTTAACGTCTTTTAAATTTTTCATTCTGAACTATCTTTTTGACCATATTCTACTCTTCATCGTAATGTCAATTACATTAAATGACAAAATCAAGTAATTTTTTTGTCATAAGCATTGTATTACATAAATCTAATACTTTCATTTATGCTGAATTTAAATGTTTTTTTAGTTTTCTTTCATCATGCAATATTTTCAAGAGACTGTAATGTTATAATCACTGTTACAGTTAAAAAAAATAGTGTTATCTGCATTTTTACATAATTTGCTTGTATTATTTAAAAATGTAGTTGTATTAATTTATTTATTTTTTAGATCTTTAACACTGTGATACTTAAAAATTACACGATGAAAAATGTAATGGCACAGATTCACAAATTTAACATAAAAGATATACCACTACTTGGTTTACTTAATGTAATGCTGAAAAAAATTATATTGTATATAGTGTTATTAATATTAAAACAAAGTTGAGTTTAAATAGTCAACTAATTGAATGCAGGCCAAGTTGCAAAGTGTTCTGCATGATACAGCACCAAGAAATACAAAAATAGTCTCTAAGGTGAAAATTTCCTTAAAGTTTGCAATAACGAGGACCTTGAGTTTTGCAATCATTGCTGTGATCCTGACAGTTCAAGAACACGCGGAGAGAGCGTGTTTTCAGATCTTACCTCAAATTTGATCCCGTGTATGATACGCATCTGTTTGAGGAATGTTGATTTACCGCTCTCGCCCGCACCGAGTAACAGCAGCTTGACCTGCCGGCGAAACGTCTGCCGGTCCTTTTCTAGCATCCGGTCGATCTCCTGGCTCTTGTAACGTTGTTCGATCTCTTCCGGACTGAATTTGAAGCGTAGGCAACACGACCATGTTAAGGAGCTCGCCATCTTGCTACCCTGCTACTCCCCCTCTCAATCTTTTTTTCTCTGTTCTGTTTCTCTCTCTTTTCCTCTCGTTCTCCACTCCCTTCCTTCCTTCCTTCCTCTCTCTCTCTCTCTCTCTCTCTCTCTCTCTCTCTC